AATAATCACTATTATTGGCAATATTTGATGAGAACTCTCTTCTGTTGTGCTTATATTGTCCGAGGGTTTTGTTGCATTCATTTCTGTTTGAACATGTAATGTATCGTTATTTTACTCTTATATTTAACATTAACTGTTTAATTATTTTGATTAATTTTTTGAACAATCAAATTGATAATTAAAAGCGCGTAAACAATCATAGTAAAATTAATCGCACTGTATATTCAATAGGCAATTGTGTGACTTATTGTTGCACTCAATTCAAAATTGCAATAATTGTAATACTTTTTTAAATTAAATGAATAATCTGTTGAATAAAGTGACACCAAATGTGGTCAACGTTATCCGTGTGTTTAACGATAGCATTACTTGCGGCCCAATTGGACGGTGTGTTGGCTATAGACAACCAAATACTTATTGTGATAGGGTTGAGCTTTTTTATAGTGTCGGGTCTGATAGCGATAGCATTGATCTTATATTGTTGTTTTTGGTCACCAAAAAAGAGAAAGAAATCTAAAATCAGTACCAAAATTGAAATGAGAGGCAAATTTTTAAACCAGAGATTGTTTTCCACGGAATCAGAAGACGAGCCGATAGTAGTGGACGACTCGGACGGCGATAATAAGAAGACCAGCGGTCGTCGGTTGTGGACCAACCAAATGGCGACACAAACTGGTCGTAAAGTTGTTATGGAATAGATGTGAACACATATTTGTAAAACATTTTCTCTGTACTGCTTCCTTGTCTTCAATATTAACTGTTTGTTTTAATTGACTTTTGAATAATAAAATATTCTTGTTTTATATGTTTCGATGTTTTTTGTTACAAAATTCAAAATCACTTGTTTTGATCCAAACGTCAAATGTGTTGACAATTGCAATCATTCTCACGACTGATCGTCGAGTCATTAGTTTTAGTACGAAATGTATAATATGTAAGAAATATGATAATCAGATTAAAATGTGTAAAAACTTTATTTTAAGTTTAATTATCTTTATTTATGGCATAAAGTGTAATGAATTGAGAAAACATTCAATTTTTAAACAAATATTTTGTGGCTGTTTTTCAATTCAATAATTAATTTATTAATTGTTTGCATTTAAATTAAACACTAAATGAGTCTTAAAATTAGTATTATAATAAGTCAGAAACTTTTTATCAAAACAATCAAATGATTTGCTTATAAAAAATTCAATAGATTTTTAAATAATAAACATCACAAAAATATAGTTACTATTGATTGTTATTAAGATTTAAGTTAAACTACATTTTATCTGAAAACAAACGTATTTCTGTAATTATATTATCAAAACGGATTAAAATTATTATACGCTAAAGCGATGATCACTCAAATATTTGTCAACACTTTTTGTATAATTCTTATAAACATATTTTCATTCCCGGAATCAGTGTTTGGAGTGAGATATGAACACACTTTGCAAGAGATTGAGTTAACCCGAAGAGTCTTAATAGAGCCTAAATGTGGATCCAATTGGACGCCAGTCTTCGTTCATTCGGCCGCAAGAACTTCAGGCAAATACTATTTGAGGAGAAAAGCCACTCGTGAGGGATGGGCTCTCGAAGCGCGCAAATACAGATTTAATGTGATATTCGTATTGGCTTTGCCTCGAGATTATAGCCATAACACCAATCTGTCGACCACTCAAACCGCTATCACTCAGGAATCCCAACAATTCAATGATATTCTTCAGTTGGCTTTTATGGACGCCTATTATAATCTAACGCTTAAAGCGATTGGAATCTTAAACTGGGTTTTAAACAACTGTTTAACAAATGACTACATCTTCAAAGCTGATGACGATATTCTGGTCAACTCTCAGCGATTGCGACAGAAAATGGACGACAAAACCTTTAAATCAGGTTTTACTGGCGAAACTGGGTTTTAAACAACTGTTTAACAAATGACTACATCTTCAAAGCTGATGACGATATTCTGGTCAACTCTCAGCGATTGCGACAGAAAATGGACGACAAAACCTTTAAATCAGGTTTTACTGGCGTACTGTCACAAACCAATCACAAACCGATTCGAGATATTAATGACAAATTTTATGTTCCCAAAGAAGTGTATGATAAGGACTATTACCCGCTATGGGTATCGGGCGGAGCATATATGAATAATTTGAAGTTAAACGATAATTTCTAATGAATAATTAACGTGCAATATAGGTATTCAATGATTCATGGGAAATTATCGTTTAACTTCGAAAAATTCATATTGTAGAGAGCGGAAATTTAAGTGTAAACAAATTTATGTTTTAAGTTAAAGTTCTCAGTATTTCCTGTGAATTGTTATGAGTTACTGTTTGATTTAAATCTAATATTAAAATCCTGTGACAATTGTTATGAAATTATTGTGTAACTACTGTTAACTCGTTTATAATTTATATGAAATGTTTATGTATGTATTTCCTATCAAATGGTATATAAGCCATTGATTACTTGTATTATCTATCTATTTATTTGACTATCACTTGTCTGTTGCCAACTATTGTAAAAGTCTTGATTTTAATAAATATATTTGTGTTTAACTAAAAGCCAAGTTATACTGAATTAGTGTCCATAAAAGTCCGATCTCTAGTGATCGGGCCTTTCGGCCCGATTCCTACAATATTATGTCCACTAATATCATTCAAAAGCTCTACAACTCAGCCATCAGTGATGACCACATCCTACTCATCGATGACTTGTATTTGACTGGAATTATAGCTCAAAAGTCTAATATAAAGCGTTATAATAGCGATGAGTTTGTTGTACTCGATTCGGACGAAGTGTGCAAAACGGATGTCTGCGATCTCCACACGATGTGTGCGTTTCACGGATGCAATCAAACTCCTAATCAAACCATTGAATTATGGATGCGATGGAAGAATACAACCCCAGAATCTTGTGATACATTTTTCTACAAATTACACAAAAATACTGCGATTGCTATCATTTTCTACACTATAGTCGCTCTCGTATTGTTTGCATTCATCGCAGCTATTATTGTATTTTCATATCAATATTTTGCAACCCATAGAGTCGTAAATCAGCCTAAACTTCAACACTAATATTTGACTTATATTTAAATTTTTCATTTGTTTATCTGTTTAAATGTTATTTAGCAGCTATTATTGTATTTTCATATCAATATTTTGCAACCCATAGAGTCGTAAATCAGCCTAAACTTCAACACTAATATTTGACTTATATTTAAATTTTTCATTTGTTTATCTGTTTAAATGTTATTTTAATTTTCTAAATTTTTATTGAATTACAATTACAAATAATACATAACTATAGAAATTTTCAATTAAATTCTCGTTTTATTATTTTTATAGTTGTTATTAACGCTTAAATTTAAATTAATTTTGTTTAAAAACAAACGTATTTTTGTAATAAAATTATCAAAACAAATTGACTATTTGCTGAAACGATGATCACTCGTAAATTTATCAAGATTTTGTGTACAATTTTTACAATCATATTTTTAAACCCGGAATACTTGTTGGGAGTGAGATATGAACACACTTTGCAAGAGATTGAGTTAACCCGAAGAGTCTTAATAGAGCCCAAATGTGAATCCAATTGGACGCCGATATTTGTTTATTCGGCCGCAAGAACTTCAGGCAAATACTATTTGAGGAGAAAAGCCACTCGTGAGGGATGGGCTCTCGAAGCGCGCAAATACAGATTTAATGTGATTTTCGTATTGGCTTTGCCTCGAGATTATACCCACAATAACACCAATCTGTCGACCACTCAAACCGCTATCACTCAGGAATCCCAACAATTCAATGATATTCTTCAGTTGGCTTTTATAGACGATTATTACAACATAACTCTGAAAGGGATCGGTATCTTAAACTGGGTTTTAAACAAGTGTTCAACACATGACTATATCGTCAAAGCAGACGATGATATTCTCGTTAACTCTCAGCGATTGCGACAGAAAATGGACGACAAGACCTTCAAATCGGGCATTACTGGCCAAATGCTTACCCATAAAAAGCCGTATCGAGATATTAATGACAAATGGTATGTTCCTAAATATTTGTATGATAAGGACTATTACCCGCCATATGTATTGGGTGGCGCGTATATTATATCCGCCGATATAATTGAAAGCCTTCACAACTCAGCCATCAGTAATGACCACATCCTATACATCGAGGACTTGTATTTGACTGGAATTATACGTCAAAAATATAATATAGAGATCCATAACAACGACGAGTTTGTTATACTTTTAGACGATGTGTGCAAAACCGATGTCTGCGATCTCTACACTGTCTGTGCGTTTCACGGATGCAATCAAACTCCTAATCAAACCATTGAATTATGGATGCGATGGAAGAATACTACACCAGAATCTTGTCATATCAATAATTTGTCGCCAAATTACACAAAAGTACGACAATAGCTATCGTTTTCTACACTATAGTCGATCTCATATTGTTTTCATTTGTTAACGATTTATAATTATTTCTCAACAATTTTTAAAGAATTGAGACATAAATCAACCAAAATTTCAAACCATTATTTTACTCTCCAGTATAGTCGCTGTCATGTTTTGTTTCTAATAATCTTATCTATTATTGCAATCATATATCAATAATTTGCAAACAGACATAAATCGGCCAAAAAACTAAACTCATTTTTAATTCTCAATTATATTTTCCATTTCTTTGTTTGATTTATTGTTATTATAATTTTTTCTAAATTTTACTTAATTATTTAATTTATAATAATATAACATTTAAATATTGTATGAGTTATCACATCTCATTGAACGTCAATTAATCAGAAATAAAAACATTGAGACTGGTTTGAAGTAAAAATAAAACTTGATATTTGGAAATTTCTATAAATTTATATTACAATTATATTAAACAATATCCACTGTAACTATATTCAGTATAATAGTTAAATTGTGAATTATAATTATGAAGATAAATTAATTTGTATAAAATAAATAATGTGTATTCAATTTAGATATTATGTTAATAATGATTGAATAACAGTTTTAGAGATATCAAGCAAGTCATTAGTCTTGTAAAAGCAAAACCTCACAACATATTCAGCCAAATGTTTGTTTTGTTTGCTGTAATAACTATCTCCCGGGAAAGTGCCTAGTTTCTGTTCATCAAAACAATAAATACCACATTTAGTTTAAAATTGAATTAATTATTTGAAACAACCTTTTGTTTGAGTAACCAATAAGTCAAACGCAATCCCCGTTTAGTATCCTTTTCTGAAGACAAATCAATTTTGTTGATAACATTTGAAAAGTTGGCGAATAAATAGATACCACTGTTTGGTTTGATTATATCAACGCCCGTCCCCTCAAACGCAGACATAAAGCGATCCCTTTTGGACAACGATTCCTTTGAAAGGTAACTGAAATACGAATCCTTGGAGTTTAGTCTTTGATTTTCAATTTCTATGACACTCGTCAGCACCTGTTGGCTGACCCGCGACACCGATTGGATTGAGTAATACAATCCCATCCGTATAGACCACAGTAGGTCTTCGGGTCCGATAACCCAACCGACGCGCCAACCGTTTAGGTTAAACAACTTTCCGCCAGAGCTTACAGTTATCGTCCGTTTCCACATTCCCGGCAAAGTTGCTGTCATTTCAATCAACAAAATATGTTGTTATTTAAACAGATAAAAATAATTGTAAACAATATTGTAATGCACTGATGGTCACCGATTCTTATATGTGAATCACTGTCATATATGTGCAACTGATAAACTTCGTCCGCCAGTATAATCACATCATGTTTTTCGCACAATTGTCCGATAAATAACAGCTCCTCTTCGGTGAAGGTCTGTAATCATTAAATTTAAATTATATATAAAATACATAATCTACTGATTTACGAACAAAACCTTTCCGATGGGATTATTCGGGTTATTAATGTATAACATTTTAGTCTTATTAGTAAAGGCCGCCTCCAAAGCTTTCCTATCAAACGTTAAATCGTTTGATTGTCGGGCCGTTTGGCCATCACTTGTCCTAAGAGGTACGTACACTGGAACCGCTTGTCTCAATGCCAATATATCAACGATTATATTGTAAAATGGCTCAAAAAGTATCACTTCGTCTCCGGGTTTAATGTAACTTTTGATGGCTAAATACAAGCCCTGATACGCGCCGTTTGTCACCACAATCTCTTTGTCAGCATTTATTGTTTGCTTCATTAAAGCCGAGAAAAGTTGGGCCAAAGCGGCCCGGAGTGCGGGTTTGCCCCTACAGTCACCCGATTCTCTATGCACTTCATAGAAGGTCTCATTCCAGCCAACAGTTTGTATCGCTTGTAACGCAATGTTGTATGGATTGAAGTTAGGCCCTCCCCGACCAAAATCAAATTGAGTAGGGTGCTCTCTAAGCATTCTCGGCAGTGGACCAGATATTACACTATATGTCATAGTGTATTCATTTTAACAAAACCATATTTATAGTTTATGCTGGCAATTACAAATTACTTACGATTCTTCATTGTCAAAGTTTTTAAAAGCATATGAGAGGTGATGTGAGCGATTAAATCGATTTAATTGACCATTTGTACCGATAATTTGCTGACAATTAATAACTAAATACAACACTGTAGATATATTTGCATAATATTTATATTTCATAATTCTATTAAAAATTGATTCCCTTAAATATGTTTTTAAAATTTAATAAAAGAAATTAAAAAATAATTTACTTATGTTACACATTAATTAATTAAACAAAGTGTAAAACAATAAATAAGTAAATAAAATAAATATATAAAATAAACATTAAACCTGTGGCCCCCATGAATAGAGACAAAACAGACGGTAGGAGTGAATTGAGGAGCGATTGAGGGGTCATAACGAGTGTCTGCCCTCTAATCGGTTCCGCAATAGTTTACGAGACATAAGAGACTATAAATTAAATCACTTTTATATTTGATTTCAAACAAAGTTAGTTTCAAATAAAACTGATTTAAAAGTACAATCAATTCTAAGATTATTACTATATTATGAATGAATTGGTTTGAAACTAATTTATTGATAGAATTAACAAAAGATTACATAAAATAAAATCCTATTTTAAGAAAACCAATAAATTGTTAATTCACAGTAATTTATAGAATTCGTTTCACAAGTGACCGTTTTTTTAGGTAGTGACAATTTGAGATGCCCATCGTGTAGATCATCAAAAAGTAGAATAGGAATGTAATAGTAAGAAAAAATCCTATGATGTAATTTTCGAGATAATGGCCAAAACAAAAAACCCTCCCCCATATACTCTCCCATAGAAAAAATAATAAATTCAAAAATTGCGCTCAAATTTGGTGAAATGCTTGCATTAATTATCGGCGCGACGTTTAACTTTTAATTTTTTTAATAATGGCCGACAAATTACTGTTGCGTCGATTGTACACTTGTTAAAACTTTATATTTTATAACAAAATCTGTGGTTTTTGTTTAAACTCTCAATTGAATAGAAATTAATTTAATGATTAGAAAATTTGTAATATTTATTTATATTTTGTAATTTTAAGTTTATTTTGCATTGAATTAGAAAATATTAATAAAACAAACAAAAAATCAATCGATATATGAATAAATCTAAGGATATCTTTAAATCAGAAAAAAGTAAATTTGTGTTCAAATAATTGGTCTAAGATTTGGTGACTTTTGGCGGATTTGATGGCGCTTTGGAGGGCATGTCGTGAGCGATGTCTTTGTCGATGCGCTCGAACTCCTGTCGAACCCATCGATGTTCAGCCAATTTAGTCAGTTTTGGTCTGTCTTTAGGGTTGGGATTGAAGACGAATCTCAAGAAGTCTTTGTAGTCTTCAGACATAGTTTCGCTCAAATCTGATCGAAAAGTAATTTTCTTTTCTTTCATATATTTGACGGCTTTATGCGTGTCTTTCACAGGAAAGGGATAATCGGCGGTAAAGATCTTAAACAAGACGACTCCCAACGCCCAGACGTCGACCGCAAACGCGTCATAAGTGGGAGTTTCGCCGAAAGCGGTGTTCACTTGCTTTCCACGCAATTCATGCAATTCTGGGGCCATATATGGAGGCGTTCCGCAGTATGTCTTCGACTGCAGCTGTTTGTCGTCTTTGTGTCGCCACACGACTCGACTCAACCCGAAGTCAGTGATGAGAACATCCAGTGTTTTGTTGAGTAAGACATTCGCGAGTTTGAGGTCTCTGTGAGCGATCCCTTGCGAACACATGTACTTCAAAGCGCTTATCATTTGCGCCGCTATTGTCCGGCACTTAGTCTCAGGTAAGGGTCCGTTGTCTCGGATCAGGTCAGACAACGACCCGTTTTCGGCCATTTCCATCATCACAAAGAATGTCAACACTTTTGCCTCTAAAGTACTCCAACTGTCNATTCGTCTTCAATCCCAACCCTAAAGACAGACCAAAACTGACTAAATTGGCTGAACATCGATGGGTTCGACAGGAGTTCGAGCGCATCGACAAAGACATCGCTCACGACATGCCCTCCAAAGCGCCACCAAATCAGCCAAAAGTCACCAAATCTTAGACCAATTATTTGAACACAAATTTAGTTTTTTTATTTAAAGATATCCTTAGATTTATTCATATATTGATTGATTTTTTTGTTTTTATTATCATTTTCTAATTCAATGCAAAATACACTTAAAATTACAGAATATAAATAAAATGTTTAATATATTAACAAATTTTCTAATCATTAAATTAATTTCTATTCAATTGAGAGTTGAAACAAAAACAACAGAATTAGTTATAAAATATAAAGTTTTAACTATTTATTGGTTTTCTTAAAATAGGGTTTTATTTTATTTAATCTTTTGTTAATTCTATCAATAAATTAATTTCAAACCAATTCATTCATAATATAGTAATAATCTTAGAATTGATTGTATTTTTATATCAGTTTTATTTGAAACTAACTTTGTTTTGACATTTGTTTGAAATCAAATCAAAATATTATAGTTTTGTAGAGAAAGTGATGTCTGTATTGAAAGTTCAAACAATTTATACATTAATCCAAACCATAACAATAGTCCCGTTTAACAATAGTCCACACAATTGCATTCAAATTGAATTGTTATGATGTGTGACTGATTTTAATTATTAATTTTATTGTTTAAGAGTCAGTGCTTTTGGACAAAATATAATTAGGAAATCAAACAAAAACTAAACAATTTATGAAACTATTATCAAAACATGAATTAAAATCTATATCTAAAGATTTCAATTTAAATAACGAGACACTCATTGGTATCGGAAAACAAAATTGTTTGCAGAATAAAAACACAGAAAAAGTGGTTAAAACTTAATGTCAGCGAAAGTGGTGACCGTCGGGACGTTACCGCCGACCGACTTCTCAGAAGCTCCGGGACGGCGGACGAGCACAGGTCGGAGACCCGCTTTGAGGGCGTACTTGGCCTCAGTCGGGCTGTCGGTCACATACAATACATTATTGGCGTTAACGCCCACACGTTTCACAATAGTTTCGTAACTTTTTTGCTCACTTTTGGGTCCAATGATAAATCTGTCAAAAAACTCGGTGACCAATGGGTAGAGATTCCCGCGAACTGTATTACAAAACAATAGCTTCTGAACGCAAGCCATGGATGAAGAGTATGTGTAGAGTCGGATACCTGAGCGCACTTTCCACTCGTGGAGGGCGTCGGACACGTCGTCGTAGACGTGGCTCTTGATTAGACCCGACTCGTAGAGCCAAACCCAACACAAGAGTTCGGCCGACTTGAGTTGAGTCAGTTCCACCTTTTTGTTCATTTGCCACAATATGTTCGCCTCCACTGATTTGATGGTCTTGTCTTTGCTTCCGGAGCTCTCGATGGCCGGCATTCCCGGATATTTGCCTGTCTTTTGGAGCCGTTCCAGACTTTTGATCAGTTCTTTGGTCTCCGATTTGTCGAATGTTTTTGTGAGAAACTCTTTGTATTTCTGGCGAATCATTGGAAAGAGTTGTTTTGACACAAACTTTTTGTCAGTTGTGGTGCCCTCGACGTCGATCACAATTGCCTTCGGTTTCGGCAACTTTTTCGACATTACAAACGGATATGTTTTACACTACAAAAACTCAACCAAAATAACTATCAGTTTGGCTATCAATTGACTGTTTATTTTGTTCAACAAATTTAAATTTGTATGTTTTGTGTCCGTAATTAAACCGTTGTATTATTTCAGTTAAATTGTAGTTTTAGAAATATAACGAGATTTTATTTTATTTTATATATAATTCGATAACTTGTTTAAATTTTACAAAATATTTATTTGTTAAAAAGTATTAGCATGGCATTTTATGTATTTATAAAAATTACACATTTTTAGAAATCATAGTTAAATTTAAGCAATTAAACACAAAACAAATCTATTCATTCATTCATAAACATTTGAAAGTAATCTAAAATTTAAGCATAAAATATTACACAAATATAAAGTTTAATTAAATTAAGAGACAATTAATGACAAAAAAAAGTGATGTCAAAGTATTAGTTTGTAATTGGAATTCAATAGAAAATCTAGAAAAATCAAAATAACAATTAAACAGATAAACAAATGAAAAATTTTAATGAGAGTTAAGTTTAAAGTTTAGGCCGATTTACGACTCAATGGTTTGCAAAATATTGATATGAAAATACAATAATAGCTGCGATGAATGCAAACAATACGAGAGCGACTATAGTGTAGAAACTGATAGGAATGGGCGTCACGTTTGCCAATCGGCGTCATTACATCATCGTGTATATGTAATTTGTGGACACATGTATCACAAGATTCTGGGGTTGTATTCTTCCATCGCATCCAGAAGTCAATGGTTTGATTAGGAGTTTGATTGCATCCGTGAAACGCACAGACAGTGTAGAGATCGCAGACATCGGTTTTGCACACATCGCCCGTATTGAGTACAACAAACTCATCGCTATTATAACGCTCTATATTAGACTTTTGAGCTATAATTCCAGTCAAATACAAGTCATCGATGAGTAGGATGTGGTCATTACTGATGGATGAGTTGTAGAGCTCTTGAATGATATCAGTGGACATAATATACGCTGAACCCGATAAATATGGCGGGTAATAGTCCTTATCATACACTTCTTTGGGAACAAACCATTTGTTATTGATATATCGATTCGGTTTTCCATCGGCATATACTTTGCCAGTAATACCCGATTTGAAGCTCTTGTCGTCCATTTTCTGTCGCAATCGCTGAGAGTTAACCAGAATATCATCGTCTGCTTTGACGATATAGTCATTTGTTAAACACTTGTTTAAAACCCATTTTAAGATACCGATCCCTTTCAGAATTATATTGTAGTAATCGTCCATAAAAGCCAACTGAAGAATATCATTGAATTGTTGGGATTCCTGAGTGAT